AAAAAAAAAAAAAAAAAAAAAAAAAAAAAAGATTTTACCAAAACAAGTATAGTGCTGCCTTACACAAAAGTTAAAATCTACATAATCTATTCTTTCATGGTTTAGAAAGTTCTTCAGGTCTGGTGCAACTTGGAGTTATGACACTTGTAATAGTCACACATTGTGCTTAATGGTTTGCATGTATTTTCCTATTTGGAGCTCTCCACCCCCCCATGAGGTAGTCACTAATATTAGCGCCGTTATACGGATGAATGACTGAGACCTGCAGAAGTTGAATGACTCGTCTTTGTCACTTAACCTAGTGAACGGAGGAGCGAGTCAGCTGACATCAGAGTGCACTCTCATAGCTACTGTGCTCCTCCTTAGGCTGTGCTATAGTCGTACAGTTTACAGGAGACTGGGATGAGCACTAGCTAGGCTGTCAGAATAGGGCTGTTGAAAGGAAGTAGGTTTCGAGAGAAAAAGAAATTTCAAACATTCTGAGTTTGCAATGCCTCTTTGACATCCAAGGGGAGAGGTCAAGAAAGCCGTTGGAAATATGAGTCTGAGTTCAGGAGAAATGTCCAAAGCTGGAGACACCAGAATGTAAATGGTATTTAAAGCTCTGCAGTTGAATGAGCTCACCACGGGTGTGAGTTAGACAGAAAAGAGAAGAGACCCAGGATCTGAGTCTTGGTGCACTCCAACACTTAGAGGCCAGGGTGATGAGGGTGAGACACCTAAGGAAGCAGGGAAGGCACAGCTTGGAGAGGCAGAAGGAAACCCAGGCGAGGGTTGCATCCTGAGCCACGTGGAGAAGGTGACTCAAGGTGGAAGAGTGGTCGGCTGTGTTGGGTGAGATGAGTCCTGAGTGTTGGCCATTAGAGTTAGAAACGCAGAGTCATTGGTATTCTTGAGGGTGGTTTTGCGGAGCGATGGGGCAGGTTGAAGAAGCTAACAGAGACTGGAAGGAGAGACATGAGACAGCTGGTATTTGCAATTCTTTCAAGTTACCTGGCTGTGAAAAAGGAGGGAAATGGAAATCCAGAAAAAGTGTTGTTTTTTTAAGATAAGAGAGACAATGGCATCCTTGTATGCCAATTGGAATAATGTGGAGGGTCAAACTGTTGGCACCATGTCCCTTAGCATGATGAGAGACGGGATCTGTGCACACGTGGAGGAGGTGGGGCAGGGGATGCTGTGAACTCTGGGGCCTGGGAATGAGTGAAGGTGGAGAAGGGAGTGTTGGAGGTTGGAGGAGAGAGGATGGGTGTGAAGTAACTATCCAGGAGAGGGAGAAACAAGGGACTAGGGACATACAGGATGCCTGCTGTAAAGCATAATGACCCACTTAAGGTCAGTGGTCAGTGTGGCTGGGCATTTCTATCCAGCTTCACTGGCCACCTGTGTGGATACAGCATGGCCTAGATGGAGACTTGGCTTGAACCGAAGGGCTGGGGCTTAGCCTGAGCGAGAGAGAGGCCAGGAAATGGAGGTTCATGCCCCGCCCGGGAGTGAGTCTAGCGATTGCAGATGGAATTAAAGCAGGATAAGGAAAGAAGCAGGGGGTGGGGGTGGGGTTGGATACAAAGTAGGTGAAGCCCAGAGGCACAGTGATGGTGTCAGTGAACTGTGGGTTGTGAGGTTTGCAGAGTTGTGGGAGTTGGGGTACTGGGTGGAATAAGCTGGAAAGAAAGGAGATTGTTCTCGGAATATAGGATGTTTGCAAGACAATGCAAATGTTTCTGTCATGAGTAATGGCAAGACATAGGCCACAGCACTGTCCATTAGAACTTGGCCCAATGAAATGGCCCGTGCCTGTGCTGGACAGAAGGCACTGGCTCTGTGTGGATATGGAGCACTTGAAATGTGGCCACAAATGAGGCACTGTATTTTTAATTTTATCTCATTGAAACTTAAATTTTTCTAGCCACGTGTGGCTGGTGAGCACAGCAAGGGCCTCAGGTGTGACAGTGGGTGACTGGTGGCCATGAGGGATAGAGAGTGACAGTCAGAAGGCTAGATTCCAAGCTCAGTGCTTTGAGGCAGGAGAGAAGGAAAATCGGTTGGAAACGGTCATGAGGGGCGAGGGGGACGATGTCCCCACTTCCAGGCACAGCAATGGGAAGAGGGCTGTAGGGAGGTGGTGTCCTCAGGAGAGAACCAGGGTCTGCTGGGGCAAGGTGAGGAAGGGCTGAACAGGTGACAAGGCCAGGTTGGGGCCCAGGGATGGGTGCTGGCTGCTCTGTGTATGAGTCCCATTGTTTTTCCTTATTGAAGTTACTTTCCCACACCCAGCAGGCTCTCACTTCCTCTCTTCTTGATTTTGATGCTCTTTGCTTCCAGTCTAAGAGAGGGGTTCTGCAGGTCCGAGAGGATCAGCACTCCACCCAAGTCTACTCTCGGCAGCCCCTGCCCGGCGTCGCCCAGACCCTCCGGCCATCACTGCCTCCTCCCGTGCCCTCTGACCCTCTGTGTGTTGCAGGTGTTCGGCGTTCACCTGAACAAATGGCAGCTGGACAAGAAGCTGGGCTGCGGGTGCCTTTTCCTGTACGGCGTGTTCCTGTGCTTCTCCATCATGACGGAGTTCAACGTGTTCACCTTTGTGAACTTGCCCATGTGTGGGGACCACTGATCTGCTAGGCCACCCGCAGAGGCCCAGGTCCTTCCTTTCTGTGCAATACGAGACCCGGCCGCACCCGAGTCAGCGGGCCCCAGGGTCACGGCGGCCGTCTCTCCCGTGCTGTCCACAGCCTCCGCTCCTGTCCTGGTGGCTCAGGCTGTCCCCGGCCCATTCCTCGCTCCCCCACCTCGTGTGAAGACGTCCAACATCTACGTGAATTTTCAGGCTCCATTTCTGAACAGTGACTGAGATTCTAGAAAAACTGGCTGCTAACTGGCCCAAGCCAGGCAAAACTGATCACAATCCCTCCTCCTTTTTTAAGTTATTTGATGGAAGACTAACCTAATTTATGATCTGAGACTGTTGAAGACATAGAGAGGCTCCACTGATCGCAGGGAGTGTTTGGGATTTTGTTCTGTTTTGAGGTGATTCCCAGGGTTACTGCGTTTGGGGGGTTGTTTTATTGGGGAGGGGGCTCCCCCTTTTCTTCCAGAGATCAAGAGGTCCCCTTGTGTCGTCTTTCTCTGGGCTCTGGATTAGTTGAAGACCCACAGGTGGTACTGCCGCGTCTCCTGGGACTGAATCCCAGCTATGCTGGAGGATGCCTGGATTCAGTGCTTGTTAGAGCAGCGCCAAGCAAGGCCACCAGGAACAACTGCTTGTCATTTTATACCCAAGGACACCTCGCTAAAGTCTTGTGGGCGTGACAGTGGGAGCTGTTTTGGAGGAAGAAGACAGCTTTTCCCACGTCCATTATGACCATCTCTTTCTCACTAGGTTCTTTCTAGTTTTCAAGCAATAGTTTTAGCCTGCCTGAGGCCTTTGACAAGCGGGCCCGGTCAAACTCTCCGTCCGCTAGGCTCCAGGCAGTCAACGACAGAAGCTTCCCCAACATGTGAGTCCCTGAGATGTGCTCTTGTTGCTTGGTATTTGGGGTGACAGGGAGTGACCCAGAGGCCACCACTGTTTTCCGTGCAGGAGTTAGAGACACTGGTTTCTTGGACATTGGAGAGAAGCGCACTTTGCACAGACATTGTCAATTAAGTCCCGATTCGCCACTTGGTATCGAGTACACTGGACCCTGACAGCTGGGTTTGGGCAAGCATCCTTCCTCAGGGGACGCCTCTGCCCAGTCGGCCCAGCCCCACCCTCCCCTCCTGGAGGGATGGCCAGGGAAGGAGAAAACACAGAGAACTGACACCTTTGAAACCACAGAACGTGTTAAACGCGGACTCGCTCAAGGGCATAAGTTATTGTGAACGTTTTTTGCCAATCACTGCTCAGCAGCCCTGCTAGATTTTGTATGATGCAGACTTATTATGCAGATTAATTCCACCGAGTTGAGACCCACCCATGCTTATTACACTTGTATTTATTGAAACTGTGGATTCTTGCCTGTGCTGTCCCTTGTATTTACTTTAAGCACTGATCACTTATCATTCATTCCGTATGGTTTTCCCCATCCCTTGTACACATCCTGGTATGAATTGTAAAAAAAAACCTGCTACCAACTGGTTGAATGTTTCTGTCTGTGGTGCAAACCAAGGCCAATGTGAGCCAATGGGGCACCTGCCTGACTGAGGAAAGGAGAGGAAATCACCAATTTGGGCTCTCAGAGCTAAGACACACTTATGATTCTGTTGCACATTTTGCACTGGTTTATGGCAATTGTTTTCTTGGATGAATAGTGTAAAATAAACTTCTCTGTTCTATACCCTTCCTCGAGCAGAGTGCATTACTTCCTCCCCTGGAGGGTTGTCTGTTTTCCATTGAGGAGAATGCACAGCAGGTAAAATGATCACAGTCGCGTGTGGCCAGGTGTTTTCACTCCTACCGTTCCTGGGTTGACTCACCTGGCAAGCTAGTTTGTGTCTGGCAGATGGAAAGAATGAAGTGGCAACTCATGGGTCCCCTCTAAATCTTGAAGAGACTTGAGGCCTGTCATCCTGTCATAGAACTCTAGAATTCTACCTGTCATAGAGTGCAGTGTAACATTGTGTTAGGAACTTGTTCTTTATGACGGATTTAAGAGGAGAGCATTCCAGTAATGATAATGGCATTCATTCGGCAGTGGTCAAGTTCTCCATTCTGTCTGATTTTAGCAGTTTTTAATAGTGAAAATTAAGGCTTCTCTTCTTTCCTTAAAGAGATTAAAACATAGTTTAATAAATCCTGTTCTGATCTTGTGTGACTCTCAAGAAATCATTACCCTGGTCTGAAATTAGCAAATGAAATGCAACACAATCAGAACAACACAGCACCAACTTTACTTAACTATTTAAAAATATATATTCCTAGGGAAGAGGGATGAAAAAAATACTAGATACTTAGGCTTGTTTTGAGTATTTACATCTCGAAATGTTTTACTGCAATATCTGTCCATTTTACAAATATGCCTGGGACACAGGGCAGAGTATTTTCATTATGCTGATTAGTGCTTACAAAACATTAGGTACTTTTATACTAAATATTTTGTTAGACTAGTCTTCACTAGTTTTAGTCTTAAGCAAAGACATTTGATCAGAGGCTTGATTTTTTAAAAAAACACATTTTCTGTGAAATTTTTAGAAACCGTAGCACCATGCTAAATTTCTCAATGTGAAGATTCTGGGACAAGGTAGCATTTCCATGTTTCCATGCATAATGGTTGCCAGCTTAGGAACTGTGAGGGTTTCCTTTCTGAAAAGAGAATTTGGCATGTTTCTGTCCAGATCTCAGCCACGCACCATTGCATCATGAATTGCTGAATGAGAATGTGGTTTTAATGAGCCAGCGCCCCATCGTGCGAAATCTCTGGTGCGGCTGTTTCGTTCTTTCTGCTGTGCTGCGACTTGAGAGGGGTTGGGATGGGTTTGAGGAAAGAATTTTTTCCAGTATCCCAAACCTGACAGTGTCATGAGAGAAACCCTCATAACAGTTATCTGAGATGGCTGGTTTCAGTTAACTCCCAGGCTACAGTCTCATGCACAAGTGGAACATCCCCGGTGGCCTTGACCAAGAGAAGATGGGCACTGGGGCTCATACTTGCTCTTGATCATATCCTAGTTGACCCCACCAGGAGGTACCTGGAGAAAGTCCTCTTTTTCTGGATACTCTGTTCCCAACCTGCCCCAGGCTTGCCAAGAGTCACTGCCAGTACGCATGCCCTCAGTGGCCTCAAACACACTGAGGGGTCACAACAAGGGGGCATCTCCAGGCACTCTGGGAAGATAGCTTCTGCCCTTTTCCAGAGGAAAGTACTGGCCTATTGTTTTAGGAATAGTACACTTTTTGTAGGTACGTGTTTTGTATTTATCTCCATAAAAGACCTTGGATGGAAGAAAGGTGGGTGGAGGCTGTTCATTATGTTTCCCTGGTCTTTTGCTGCAGACCCTTATGGTTTACAGTCATACACTGGCATACTAGGGATTTGAGGCTCTGTTTATCTCAAACAGGAAATCTGAACTCATTTTAAGCACTCAGGCTCTAAAGAAAAGCCTAAATGTTTAAAAAGCGGGGGAGGGGCGATAATATTATAAAGTTTAGACTGTTTTCCATTGTGGTATATAAAAATAGAAATAACATCCAACTTGCAATTAATGCAATAAAATATAGCCTTAGAACTTTACCTAATTGTTTATGAAAATATTCAGATTGTGGGGAAAAATCAGAAGTGGGAAATTGGTGATGGAGAAGATGCTTTCTCCAAGATTTATTTATTTTCACCTTTTCAAAATAGGCCAATTATTCCATTAATATAATAATTATCAAATTATTCTGACCCTTTCCCACCATCTATTTTGAAATAGATTGCACATTTCCATGTTAGATTTCATATAGTCTCATACTAATTAATGACTCTTATTGTGATGTTTTCTGCGATGGCTGCTCACACACACACACGCACCGATACCAAAACTCTGTATGAGTCTTTGAAATTTTTCCAAATATCCAACTGTCTATTATCTTAGACAGTTGGGTGGATTCAGCAAACTCCTCTGATAAGTAAAAAGCCGTTTGTTAATTGCATCATCGTCCAGGGATATGGACTGCAGAGATGCTGACAGGTCAGGAGCCAAGGCCTTGGAGAGGGGAGATTAGCAATGTGCCTGAGATCAGTGATGCCTTGCCCCAGAATTGACTTCAGATTGAACTTCATGCTGAGTTTCAGAAGACAGGGTAGCGTGATAAAACTCCACCACAGTTTTTCAGATGGCTTACTGTTGCACTCAGGGTATTTATTTTCTTAAGTGTACCTAGTACTCTATTAATTTAAGAAGATTTTACTAAACCTCCATTTAGCAAACATTCTTGCCAAGTTGTAGAGATTTTAAACATGGTATTCACAGTTAATACTCATTTTGTTTCTGATCTTTGTTTTTGCAACAGCTGGGAGAGAAGGGCAGATTTAAGATTGCAATTTTGGCATATTTACCATTTAAAGGTTTTTCTACTTGGGTTAATTTGCATAAACATATGCATACATACATAAATTAAATGTATAATTTCCAACTTATCCTACTCATCAAAAGCTGAATTTGGCGATGTCCTATCTGTTGGTTTGTTGGGACTATTAATCCAGTAACTGATGCCAGAAAACTGCACAGAACTTGGAATGAAATATGGCGAAGAATTCCAGAATCCTTGCAGCTGCTTTTTGGATGTTTCTGAGCCATGCCTACAGGTCACTTCCAAAAAAGAGATGCACTTGTGTGTGAAGGTGCTTTCAGCATAAAACTAATATTTTGGATTCTTGCAAAAAACATGAACTCCATTCAATTGCATATCTTTCTTTTTGAGATAAGTCAGATGTTTATCTCTCTCCCATGATTGATGAAGGATGATTCACATTTCAAATGCTAGATACTAAACTTGTAGTCTGTTTAGTCATCACTGCTCTAACCAATGGGTTTGAATGAAAATGCCTTCACCTTCATTTCTAGGAGAATTTATTTTGTCTGCTGGTTACACGTTTCTGTATACCAATTCCAGCATGTCTAAAAAACTTTTGCCATAGCAGTTAGAATTGTTTCCTCCAGTTGTTTAAATATTCTATCCAACTTCATTTATGAAAAAGCCTGTCTTGGGGCCGAGCCCGTGGCACACTCGGGAGAGTGTGGCGCTGCTCCTGCCGCGGGTTCGGATCCTATATAGGGATGGCCGGTGCACTCTGCGGCTGGTCTCAAAAAGGACACACACACTCAAAAAAGCCTGTCTTATTTGTCTTATTGTCTAAACTGATGCTTCTTAAACTTATTTGTAGTGAGAATTACCTGGAGACTTACTAAATTCAGATTTCTGAGCCTCTCCTCTGAGTTTCTGACTCAGTACATCGAGGGACAGGTTCAAGAATGTGCATTTCTTACCAACTTTCAGACACTATTGCTGCTTTGAGAACTATTGGTCAAAATAATGTCCCTTTCCCATACAGCCACAGTTTTCATACACCAGCCCCCACAGTTTACAGCTTATGGAAAACACACACACACAAAAAAATGTACCATTGCCTTCATTCTTTCAAAATTCTTTTTTCTTTCTAATTCCACTGAGTTNAAATTCAGATTTCTGAGCCTCTCCTCTGAGTTTCTGACTCAGTACATCGAGGGACAGGTTCAAGAATGTGCATTTCTTACCAACTTTCAGACACTATTGCTGCTTTGAGAACTATTGATCAAAATAATGTCCCTTTCCCATACAGCCACATTTTTCATACACCAGCCCCCACAGTTTACAGCTTATGGAAAACACACACACACACACAAAAATGTACCATTGCCTTCATTCTTTCAAAATTCTTTTTTCTTTCTAATTCCACTGAGTTCTATGAATATCTAAGAGAAGGAAAAGAAATATGTTTAATTCTTTATAATCTACATTTCTGTCATCCTGCAGTCTGTCTGTTCCCACCCAAAAACAACTTTTAAATTAAAACCAAACTAGATCAAAGTTAATGGTTTAAGATGAAGATCCAGGAAAGACAAGTTTCTGGGTAGAGAATTCGCTCCACAGAGATGGGATCAGGAGACCACCAATTTCATTCAATATGAAAAAGATTTAGTTATAAACTACAAGAGAAAGTAGTGATGAATATAGAAGTTTTTTGCACATGAATTCATCTTTGCACGTTACAACCATGGATCGCTAACTTTCTAATCTAAATGTGTTATTTTGATACAATCAGTTCAGCAAAGATGTCATGGCTGAGAAAAGAAAGAAAAGTTCACACCAGAGTGGAACACCATGTGCTTAAGATAATCACAGGTGCCCCTTTATGGTCTTGCCTAGGAAACAAGAGCAGAACACACCAGACGCACATCTCCTGCCTGGGCTCAGTCCCCCCATGGACTGGCTGAGGCCAAGGGTCAGCTTCCATGTGGAAAATGATTGAGACTCCCAGGTGAGAGACAGGAACTTACACAGCTTGTGCCTATAGCCAGACCCTCACTCGGAGGACATACTGCCCTTCAAAATGACATGGTAAAAGTCACAATTTTTATAAAATCCATTACAAATTTTGCTCCAAGTCAGGAA